CGGCCCATGAAAGGTCCGCCCTGCTGCTGACCTCCAAGTTGCCGCTGGCCAATAACGGGAGACATGCCCAGCTGCATCACCATCTGCTTGGCGACCTGGGTGCCTCAGTCAAGGCAAGCTTTGCATCTTCTGCTTAGTGACACATGGACAAATGTCCTTCATTGATTCGGATGATTAAGGACATTCTCGTGAAAGGACATATAAAGGACATATAATATAGCACTGTACAATATTTTTGTATTAGCGCGAGCCCAACCAAGTCACACTGTTGGAAATCGTTGGAAGCTCCAGTCGTCACGTTGTCCTTGCCATTGATGATCTCTTCTGCCAGGCGCCCACCAAGTGACACGCACATGCGATTCTCCAGGAATTCCTTGGAATAAAGGCCTCACAAGGCTTAAATGTGCAAAACATTACAGTATATAGTACGTATTCAACTACCAGCAGCACTAAGTAGGAATCTCCCCCGTCAGCTGGTCAGCACACCAATGAAACTGAGCCGAACCATGGAAGAATTGAAGGCTATATACTAAATCTGAACGTGACAAGAAGGGCCGGAGGTCATTACATGACGGACTTCGCCTGAGTTTAAGCGCTCTTCAGAAGGCATGAAGATCGTGACGCCACCCGCTGGTCCACGTGGCACGATGCTAATCTTGGCAACTGCATCATAGTCATTCACCAAAGCACCCAAAATAGCATGACCGGCTTCATGGTAAGCAACGAGTCTTCTCCTCTGCTCTGACATCACTGCATCTTTTTTCTCCAAGCCCAATGCAATCCGCTCGAGAGCATTGAAGATATCATCGGAGTCGATCTCGGACTTGTTCTGCCGTGCTGCCACAATGGCTCCTTCATTAAGAAGGTTGGCCAGGTCAGCCCCGGACATTCCTCAGTTGCATATATATATATGGTTGGTTTCCAAAATGTCTTTTCCCAAAATGGTGCACTCATCGCAATTCCATGGGGGCCCGCTTCTAAACCTCCTTTAAGCTTCAACCACACTCAAACCACAGGGATGTTAAACATGAAGGCGTGTGAACTGCAAAAACTGTGAGAGGTGTCTAGCGCGGACTGCTGAGATGCTGGAGCTGCTGCTGCTGCTGCTGGACTCCTGCAGTTGTTTCCACTTTTTGTTCTCAGAAATCTTCAGAACGACATAATTAGGAAGGACGTAAGAGCTGACTCAAAAGATTTGGGTGTTGGATGGGCAACTGGTCAAGAAATGGACCGTCGTCTAGCGCGGTGCTAGCGCGGATCTAGCGCCAGCCTAGCGCAAAAATCACCGTCGATTTCTTTATCCTGTCAGATTTTTATTTTTCCTGCTTGCTTGTCTTCTTTTTGTTGTGCATTCTTCTTCTTCTTCTTCTTGGCTTTTCTTCTTTTCTTGTCTTGCTTCTTCTGTTTCCTGCTCTCTGCTTGTTTCTTATTTTTCCTGCTTGCTATCCTGTTATGAAGAAACCTAGCGCCAACCTAGCGCCAATCTAGCGCTGCCTTGCTGTATCACCATATTCTGCTGGGGGCCCGCTTCTAAACGAAAACTTAAAAACACATCTACAGCCTTAAAAGTTTACGTTTATCTATATTTTTGAGTAGGGCTTTTAGAGCGCAGTCCATATATATATTATGGTTTTGCAAAGGAACACCTCAAGATTCTTCATAGAGTGGACAAGTAGTAGTGCAGCTTTGGGATGCAGTTTCCCTTGAAGAGAGAGGAAAAACCGGGATGTATTGGTCCAATCATGTTGACATAATAATGCATCATTTATGACCTAATCTGCTGAACAAGTGTCCTGGTGTTTGCTTTGCGATCGCTGACAAATCGATGCCAGGAGCCAAGTTCTTCCCCTTGGCGTGGACCTTGAGGATCTCCAAGCGGCCCTGGACATCTGGAGGATCCACCTCATCAGGGATCTTGCAATCTTGCGAGCTGACTGCATGGACCTACAATGTGTTTAATATGGATCAACTTCATTCAGAATCAGTTGAAGCTCAATTCTCAGTATTGAAGCTCAATTCTCAGTACCACTCCTGGATCTGCCGATCGAAGCGACCTGCCAGGAAATAACCGAATTCATAATAAAACAAAAACAAATAATTATAATAATTGGTATTACAATGAATTATTACGTGAAGCAACATGAAAAAGATTGCTGCAGACCCTGCCTGGGCGAACGAGGGCCTGATCCAAGATGTCTGCCCGATTTGTGGCTGCGAGGACCACCACTCCCTTGTTGCTCTCAAAACCATCCATCTCGGTAAGCAGCTGGTTCACAGTCTGCTCACGTTCGTCATTGCCCTGTCCGAAGCCTGGAACGCTCTGGTCTTCGAGGTCTACAGAGTGTTCTACATGTGCAACAATCTTCGAATCCACATGCCGCTCACTCGTCCAAAACCTTAGGCAAACCGATCTCAGGACATGCGCCTGCACTTCGCTGCCGCCCCACAGCATCGATCTCATCGATGAAAATGATGCACGGCGCAGACTTCTTCGCTTGTTCAAAGAGATCTCGGACGCGTGAAGCGCCCACTCCAGCGAAGACCTCAACGAACTCCGACGCGGAGATGCTGAAGAAGGGCACACCGGCTTCGCCTGGAAGACACCATTTTGGTTGGATGATAAATATAATATATATTATATATTGATACAATTTGATACATGTCGTTTGCGACCTGTTGAGACTTTCAGTTAAGACTTCAATAGACTTTGGAAGGAAACCTCCGACATCAACTAAGATCCTTTCCCAAGCTGCCTGCCACAGCCTTGACGAGCAAGGTCTTTCCTGTGCCAGGTGGGCCCACCAGCAAGGCACCCTTGGGGATCTTGGCGCCCAGTTCTGAGTACCTGGAGGTTTCACTCGGATCCACGTCACACCCGTGTTTTGAGCAAATTCCATGTTCAACGCATTCAAAAATGCCGGAAAACAACGGATGTGATGCGGTCGGTACTTCCGACCTGGACCTGCAACATGTCTTCTGTCCAGCCTCGAGGCATTCTTCAGGAAGTCAACCACCTGCCAGTGGCTCAAGGTGAATGCGCTAGAGAGATCCAGAGAGCTCAAATCATCCTTCCCCTTCGCTTAAATGCCGCATTGAATCATTCCGAACAAATGCACATCATGAAAAGTCAAAGAAAACATGTTAAAAAGAATGAAAACAAAAAAGAACATGCAAATTCCAACGTAGCACTGAAGCCTTGCTTGGTTGGTTGGAGAGTCACAAGAGCCCAGTCAGATCAGATCGGGCCTCCACCAGCTCTGTCTTGGCGCCGTCACAGCCCGCCACATCACCAAACTTCACCTGAAGAGGCTTCACTGCCATTCTTGCCATGGCCTGTGGATGCCTGTGGATCTTCTTGATTATTCGAGCTTATCTGCGATATGTAATTATATGTAGTGCAAAAACTATGTTTGATGAACCTTTCTGAACCGGCATTGCCTTGGTGTCGCCATCCTTGATGATCCGAGCTTTGGACTTGCCCAGCTCAAAAGGATTCCCACCTGGCGAGAAGCATGTCTTGTGGTGTGTCATCTCGTGTCAAGATGTCCAAGAAGGTGTTGGTGTCATCGATTCAAATCGACAGGCTCTTAGAATCTCAAATCTATGCCTGGACCACCAGGTCCACCAGGTCCAGCAGGTCCACCAACACCACCGAAAAGCAGCAAGAGGCCAGCCACCAGCCATGCAAGTGGACCAGC